GCCTGCATGTGTGTAAGTGCACTTGTGTTGTTCAGTGCCCTCATAAGTCAGAAGAAGGTGTCAGATCCTCTGGAACTGCATTTATGGATGATTGTTAGCTGCCATGTGGGTGCTGGGAATCGAACCTGCGTCCTCTGCGAGAGCATTCAGTGCTCTTAACCACTTGAACCATCTCTCCAAGATTCTTTTTATATTTGACTTTACACAGTTTTGTTAGAATTTATTTAGATGCATACCTCTTTCATTTTTGTCCTAATTGGAGCTTGGTATGCTTCTTGGATATGTATATTAATGATGTTTATCAAATCTGAAATGTTTTTGGCCAGTAATGGTTTTCTTCATACACTCTTGTCACCCTCTTACTTGGGGTGGAGGGATCTTTCAGCTATGGACAAGAATCAGAAAATCACTATGCAGATTAAATAATCACTAGTCTTTTAGATGAAATATTAAAGAGTTCCAGTCGAGTTATAGTCACTCCGGTGACTGTTGGACTGTCTTGACTGTGGGATTAGAAGTAAAAACTCCAAAAATCATTATTCTTAATGATATTCTACATTTTTTCTTCCTAATGCTGGAGTCATTTGATTGAGTATAGGCTGGCAACCCAATGTAACCATGATACGGTGAAGAATACGGTAAACATAAGGTGTTATAGCTGCTGTGATATAACAGGGCATATGTTCTATAATAAATTTATGTCTGGAAGTAATATTGTTTAATATAATGATAAAAGGTACAGGATAATAAATAAATGAGCTAGTAACTGTTTGTTTTGTCATATATTATGTCCTGTACTTAATTCCGTGTGCTATAATTTTTTGCAGCTGGCATCACTGGCTTAACACCCAGCATCACTACAAACACATGAATAAATACATCATGCTATAATGTTATGAAGGTAGTGATGTCACTAGGTTATAAAAATTTTCAGTTCCATTGTAATCTTGTGGGATCTGCTTTATGTGGTCTCTTTTTGACAAAAATGTCATTATGCTGTATATAACTAGTGTTGATGCTCTTGCATCCAAAGAGAATGTGGTAGTTTATTTTTGAGCCAGATAGGAGTGTCTAGAGCCTGGCAACACAAATTCAGGTTGCCCTGAGTGGCATGTTGCATGGTACAAGAGATTATATGAAGAGATTATATAAAAGATTATATTTTGTAGTTACAGAGCAAAAGGAAGTCATAAAGTAATGCATTTACCACGTACATTATAGAGGAACATCAGACAGGTAGGAATTCTCTTCATAGATTTCAGATACTATCCTATTCTTAGCTTTAGGACTGGTAGAACCTGGTGGTCTGCTTAAAGTAGTACATCTCCAAAGTTTTATCAGGCAAGGATGTTAAATCCATATAGAAGTTGGAAATAAATCACTATTAAGGGGAACTAAAAATAGCTGAGATAATTTTGGCTCACAGTTTATAACATTTTATCTTTTCGTAGTCACAAAGTCCTCATCAGTTTCCTGAGTCTTCAGTACGTGTGGCCTTTTTAGTGAGTTAAGTTCACAGTAGAATGACAAAAAAAAAATAGTCTTGTTGATTTTATGGAGTGACAGATTTATTTGGAGGTCCCTTATTCTGCTGTTTTTGCTAGCTTAAAAAAATCTATTTCGTCTTGAGTGAAGACTTGTAGTTTCTGTCTTAGGAATTTTTTCTGTTTCTCCTAAGCACTGAACTATACTTCCAGGCAGGGATTTGTTTGTTTGTTGGTTTGTTGGTTTTCTGGTTTTGACTCAAGTGTTTATAAATATTTAGGTAAAGTTGGTTGACAGTGTTGCTCTGGTCTTTTATGTCTCTACCTTTTTAATCCCTCTTGATAAATGAGGTTTCAAATACAATTCCTATAACTCTTTGAAAAATATTCTGTTGTATTCTAGCTTTTGAAAGATATCTTCTCTTTTTCCAGTTTTAAAGCCTCTGTTTGTCATTGTCATTCCTTAGTTTACACTGCATGCATTTTTATTTATCCTTGAGTTTCTTTTTAGGTTAGCATACATAGTATAGTATAAAGGGTTTTATTATAATTTTTTCCTATATGTATGTAATTTTATTTTGTTCTTGTTTATTTTGCTCCTCTGTCATACTGCATACTTCCTAGCTCTTTTTGCTGACATTTTATGTCAAGTAGTCCTTCTTTCATGTCATTTTTGAAAATTAGCTTTGGGGGCTAGAGAAATGGCTCAACAGTTAAGAGCACTTACTGCTCTTCCAGAGGACCCTACTCTGTTCCCATCACCTACATGGCAGCTAACACCCATCCTTAACTCCAGTTCCAGAGGATCTGATACTTTCTTCTGGCTTTCATGGGCACCAGGTACAGACGTGGTGTACCTACATACAGGCAAAGCACTTATACACATAAAATAAATATAAAATCTTTTAAAAATTAGTTTTTGATATTCTGTAATTTTTTTTGACCTGCTTTTCATACATTGCCTCTCCATACTCCTCCATTCTTTCTGTCTAGAAATTAGGGATATTTATTGTTTCCTGCATCTGTTGTATCAGAGGCTAAAATTTCCTCAAGTATTTTTGGGTGGGCTTGTCTAAAGACTCCTTAAGTCTGAAACTTGAAGTTCTTTTAGCAGTAATCTGCTGTTAATACAGACACACTATTGATGTGGTATAAGATGTGGAGGGAGAAATCTTAGGAATTGATATCAGGGTCTTAGGCAGCCTAAGCTGGGAACTTCCCTGTCCAGTATTGAAAAGTAGAGGGGAGCTAGGTAGAATATTTTTCTTCCCCTAGATCTGCTAGGTTTTGGCTACACAATGATTCTGATAAAATAGTTTTCCTCAAGGGAAGGACTTACAAAGAACATATTCAACAATTTTTTGGAATACCAGTTTGTTCTGTGGTCACGATTGTAAGGACAGGAGTCATGCCTTCCAGACCTTTTTTAGTGTTGGAACAGAAACCAAAAAATTTGTTGGCCTTTTTTTTTTTAGAATTCCATCTCAATGTATATTAAACTTTCTTATTTTAAACTTTATGTCTTTTACCCTTTAGTGTTCATCTTTTTTGAGACTCAGTGATGCATTTTGGGTAATTTCTTCAGATGCATTTTCCCTGTTTACCAATTTTCTTTTCTGTTGTGTCTTATCTACTACTTATGTGAAGATTTTCCTCCTGTGGCACTTGTTACATACTGTAAAGTGCCTGAATATTAAAAATTCAGCTTTACTGACTGTATATCTGTGAAAGCAACACCTAGATGAAGATACGAGCATTTCCATCACCCAGGTTTTTTCCTTTTCCCACTTGCAAGTTTAATTGAAAACTGCTGACCAGATTTAAAATATAGCCATATCATTTTATACTTTACTAGTCATTTCTGAAAGTTCCAGGTACTCTTTGTTCTCCTAACATGGTCATTTTTTTTTTTAAAAAATTGCATTTTGGGACTGGAGAGATGAATCAGCAGTTAAAAGTACTGGTTGCTCTTGCAGGTTCAATTCCCACCACCCACATGGCAGCTAACAACCGTCTGTAACTACAGTTCTAGGGGAACTGACTTCCATGGACATTGCATGACATAGGTGCATTTACATAACATACAGGTATTATACTAATACACATAAAAATAATAAAACATTTTTTTAATTGCATTTGATAAACATATGAACCTTTGAAACATTTAGCAATTGGAAATTTCATATCTAGCTATTTCATTGGCTTTGATTGTTCAAATCTGAATGCTAGCTTATGTTTATATTAATACCCCCTTCATTTATTGGGGAGATAATACAGTCTGTTACAGGTAGCTTGCATTTTCATATTTGATATATCTGTTTTCTTAATACTTAGATATTTCTGTTCACTATCATAGTCAACATTTCACTAAGTTATCTTGTTAATAGATTTTCTTGTCACTTGAAGTATTTTCCTTTTTCCTATGTAATACGTAATATAAATATTCTGAGGATATCTTTTCTTTATTCAAAACAATTTTTTTCATTTTACATTTATCTATGGAGGTGGTGTAGAAGTCATAAGACAGTGCTGTGGGAGTCATTTACCTGCTTCTACCATGTAAGTTCTGGAGATCAAACTCAGGTTGTCAGGCTTGAGGTCTAGCATCTTTATCTGCCAAGCATCTTGCTGGCCTGAGACCTTCTTTATGAAATTGTTTATTCCTTTTTTTCTTTTAATTAAAAAAAATTAAGCCAGGCGCGATGGCGCACACCTTTAATCCCAGCACTGGGAGGCAGAGGCAGGTGGATGTCCGTGAGTCCAAGGCCAGCCTGCTCTACATAGCAAGTTCCAGGCCAGCTGGGGCTACAGGGAGACCCTGTCTTAAAAAGCCCCCTCCCCCAAAATTTTTTTAAATTTATTTATTTTTATTTTATGTGTATGAGTATTATGACTGCATGTGTGCAAGTGTACCTTTGTCGTGCAGTGCCCATAGAGGACAGATGAGGGCATCAGATCCCCTGGAACTGGAGTTATGGACGGTTGTTAACTGCCATGTGGGTGCCGGGATTTGAACGTGTGTCCTCTGCAAGAACAGCCAGTATTCTTAACTGCCGAGCTATCTCTCCAAGCCCCACTCATTCTTTCTTAAACAGGACTGTTTATCTACAAAGTTACTTTAGAATTAAACATGATTAATGTGTATGTGCTAATGTCCATGAATGTATTTCTTTAAAAAATTTTTTATTTTTATTTTATGTGTATGCCATGTGGGTGCTGGAAACCAAACCCAGGTCATCTGCAAGAGCACTCAGTACTCTTAACTGCTGAGCCAGCTCTCCAGCCCAGATAATATGAATTTCTTTTTTGATAAACACTGAAATTAGGAAATAACTTCTTTGAAGTTATTCTGTATGCCCAACTTAATGTTTCTTTATGTTCCTATAATTTCTTTAAATGTGTGTCACAGATAAAACAGTAAAATTCACTTTAGGATATTAGTATTTTGTTCCATGGTATACATTTCTGTCTTGTCCTGAAATTATAATTGTCATACTTTATTTTTTTTCACTTCAGGCAATCCTTTATCACAGGATATTATGAGCTTATACCAAGACCCAGATGGAACCCGAAAGCTACTGAACTTCATGCTTGACAATCTTGCAGGTAACTATTAATGATAAAGCAGTGAACTTGCAGATGTTGTTAGTAGTTGATAAATCACATGCTGCTTTTTTTATAGCTGTTTATAGGTTTGGAATTTCTGCCTTAGATTTATCTCATATTAGTGGGACATTCCTTTTTTTCTCATACATGAGTACTTTTCTCTTTACTAAGCAATATATTAGTTTTAGTTACATTATCTTGTTTAATCTTTGTAAAAACTTTAAGTGGTAGTAATTTTTACATTTTACAGGTACAAATTCGAGATTCAGAGACTAGTCATTTGCAAATGACTATTAATATCAGAAGTATGAACTCAAGATTATCTTACTCTGAATTGCTAAGATTACTTTTTTTGGTTTTTTTGAGACAGGGTCTCCTTGTAGCTCTAGCTGGCCTGGAATTCACTATGTAGACCAGGCGGCCTTTAACTCACATAGCTCCATCTGCCTCTGCTGGGACTAAAGTCGTGTGCCACTAAGCCTGGCAGATTACTTATTTTTAATGAAAAAGATGACTATAAATGTTACCTAGGGGGGTGTGCTGGACAGCTTTAGTGTCAACTTGACACACCTGGGTTGAGGGAGCCTCAATTGGGGAATTGCCTCTATTGGACTGGCCTGTGGCCATGTCTGAGGGGCATCTTCTTGATGAGTGATGTGGGAGGACCCAGCCCACTGTGGGTGGTGCCACCCCTGGGCAGGTGGGCCTATGTTGCATACGAAAGCAGGCTGAGCAGGGGCCAGGGGAACAAGCCAGTAAGCAGCGTTCCTCCACGGCCTGTGCTCCAGCTCCTGCCTCCAGGTTCCTGCCCTGAGTTCCTACCTTGGGCTCCCTGATGAACTGTGACCTGGGAGATATAAGCTAAATGAACCCTTTCCTCCCCAAGTTGGTAGTGGTCAGAGTATTCTGTCACAGCAATGAAGAAACAAACCAGAACAGGAGGTAATTCAGTTTAATTTTTTTTCCTTGATGTGTAAGTTTACCTATACTGCCATTTGGTTTTTCAGTATAGTGTTCAGTAAATTACATGAGATAATAAACATTTTATTATAAAATATGCTTTGTGAGGCTGGAGAGATGGCTCAGTGGCTAAGAACAGAAGACCCAGGTTCGAATCCCAGCACCCACATGGCAGCTGACAACTGTCCGTAACTCCAGTTCCAGGGGATCCCACAGCCTCTTCTGTCCTCATCGGGCATTGCACATTTGTGCGCTTACCTGCATGCAGGCAATACATGCTTAACACATAAAATAAAAATAATAAATATAAAAAAAAATGCTTTGTGTTAATTTTCCCCAATTGTAGGCTAACTGAAGTGCTTTATTTAGGTAGACTAGGCTAAGGTATGATATTGGTTAGATTAGGTGCATTAAATGCTTTTTTGATTTAGAATATTTGCAGCTTGATCGGTTTAATTGGGACACAGTATCATTGTAAATCAAGATGTATCTGTAGTTTGATTCACTATACATTTGTAGAAATTTTGCAAGCAGTCTTTAAGAACAGGGTTATAGGGTGATAAAATGGTTATATTCCAAGTGTGAGTTTTCTCATATAAGAAAGCTATTATGTATATACTTAGAACTTTTTTCAGTGGTTTATTTAAACATTGAAAATGTGGATATATGTGTATAGATAATATCTAATATAGATATTTTTCTTTGAATAATTCCTTTTAAGTATATATCCTTTATATTGCATGCTACAGTATGGTATATATGGTCCAAGCACATGAGTGTGTGAATGTGAAGGTGTCTTTATCCCTCTCCATCTTACTGCCTTGAAACAGGGTCTCCTGCTGAACCAGAAGCTTGCCTTTTTAGCTAGGTTGGGTGGCTAGCAAGCTCCCAGGATCTACCTGTCTTTGTCCCCTAATGCTGGGGTTACAGGCAGGCATAGCCATGCCTGACTTTCTACATGGTACCAGGGATTTTAACTCAGGTTCTCATCCTTGAAGATGTCCTCATCGGGCACTCTTACCCACTGAGCAGATGCTCCCTACCCCCTGTACAGTTCTTTTAAAAACTATTT